TTTTGCACCTTTTCTTAATGTAAAACCTACATAACGCTTTTCTTTCATTTTTTCTTATTTTAAACTGCATGACACAGTAGTTGGCGGTTGTAGAAGCCAAAATGGAGGCACTGCTGCTGTTCTTTATTGTAATTGTATGTACTTTTAAACTCATTTGCTTACCTTTCATCACGTACTTCTTTTATTTTCTCTGTTATTTTTTTTTTTCTTCTCTAACCATTTTGCTCATTTACCTTTTTTGTCTTATGGAAAACATAGAACGGGTAAGGGGTAAAGTGTGACAACAGAGAATGTTGTATTGTCGTTGATAGTGCAAACACCTTTTAGCGATTTAGTTGTTTCCTAATGCACACAGCCACGCATAAGCATATACAAAGGCTCACCAAGTTTTTCTTAACTTTTTATTTGTTTTTTTTTTTGCTGCATACTTTCAAGCGCAAAGTGTTTTATTTTCACTTTTGAGTGGTAGAGTTTCTATTTATTTTGTAGACGTATGTATGAAAATATATTTTTTAAAATTGTGAACTTCAATTAAAAATTCATGTTTTTCCTAATGTTTCGCTATGTCCGTCCGTCTGTCCGCCCGTTTATCCGTCCGTCCATGTAAACCTTGCAATCAAACTACAGGGCTCAAATGAGGGTAAAATGTGACCCTATAATCAAGAAATTCATGAGGATCATCAAGGCAAGTATTGAACTTGGTTTCGCAGCATTTTATCGAGATACGAATATATTAAACATAATTATGAACTTAAAAGCCCTATTCGTCCGGTTCAGTTGTACGGGGGTTATGTGAAATAAGACCGATGTTAACCATTCCGACAGGCTTCGTCTCCAGTAGCTCTTACAAAAAAAATGTGATTTTGTTTTCATAAGAAAGCATTTAAGTTGAATTGTACCTTGCCTCAGATATACTTAAGCCATTTATTGTTGAATAAAATTGTGGACATTTAAGTCGAATTTTGAAGGGGGCTTTGAATAGGGGGAATAGGGGAATAAGACCTTATAATTAAAAAATTAATGAGGGTCATCAAGGCTAGTATAGAACTAGGTATTGCAGCTTTTTGTCGAGGTACGAGTAATTAAACATAATTATGAACTGAGAAGCCCTATTAGTCCGGTTCAGTTGTATGGGGGCTAGGTGAAATAATGGACCGATGTTAACCATTTTCAATAGGCTTCGTCTCCGGTACCATAGAAGATCGTGTGCTAAATTTCATTGAATTTCTTCAAAATTGCGACCTGTAGTTTGATTACAAGGTTTACAAGCCCTATTCAGGGTTTCATTTGTATGGGGGCTAGGTGAAATAATGGACCGATCGTAACCATTTTCAATAGCTTCATCCCTGGGACAATAGAAGATTATGTACCAAATTTCGTTGAATTATCTTCAAAATTGCGACCTGTAGTTTGATTACAAGGTTTACATGGACGGACGGACAGACGGACGGACATAGCTAAATCGACTGAGAAAAAGATTCTAAGCCAGTTGGTATACTTTAAGGTTGGTATAGGACCAATATTATTGTGCGTTACAAACATCAGCACAAACCCAATATACCCTCCCCACTAAAGTGGTGTAGGGTATAAATATCTATTATATTCAAGTTTTTGTCAAAACAAAATATCACGGCTTTTCATTTTTCCAAAAAAAAAATTATTTTCAACTGAAATTTGTTCAAAAATATTTCAGAAATAGTAAAATATCATTCAACATTCCATTGTGCCAGTTTTGTAGTAAATGAGCGAATTGGTTATGCGAGAGAGGGGAGGGGCTGATGAGTGAAAATTTTCAATTTGGATCTCAGAGTCCTACAGAGTTAAGTTCCTTAATAAGCACCTCACATATGTAAAAAATAATGTTAGTGTTTTGATTTTAAATCGACTTTAAAGATTAAGTGAACCTATAAATAAAATTTTCTTCATATTCTATAAACTAACTTCTTTCCTTATAATTGTGAAACTTCCATGAAATATATTTAATTTTTTATGTTTCTTTTCACATCTTTTGAAATCTTTTGTATGTACTTAAATATACATAATTTTTAGCTTAAAGGCTGACTTCCTGCTAGCAGTCATGTTTATATTTATCGCATAATTGTTAGTATTCTTCTCGTTATAATCATATATTTTTTTTCATCTCTTCCTTTTCATCTGCCACACATCTTCAACTTACTTCCTCATATTTTGCTAAATCTAAGCTGTATTCTTATATACACACATACACATGTATGTATGTATGTATGTTGTGTATTTAGTATAATGTCCTCTGACATTATGTAAACTTAAATACACTACTAATGACGTAAATTGTTCTTGTTTGTTTATTTAGTAGTACGTACTTACTATGTACGTAGAACATAGTACCTAATATTAGTGTGTTGTTTAAGATACTTAATAGAAGGTTGATGTCAACATAGATTAATTATTAAAAAGAAACATTTAAGCATTAAATGACATTTTAAAACCAATGTCTTTGATTTGATGAGAATCTAAATTAGCATTTTATAGATGCTTTTGTGGGACATTTAATGGTTAAGTAAATATAAATAAGTTATGAGTGTATTTTAAAAATTATTTATTTTTTTACTCAAAAACATTTTCTTGAATTTTACTTTAATACCGATGTATTTAAGCAATTTCTTGACGAAAAACTAATTTTCTAAAATAGGCTTTTTATGGGAGTTGTGTTCAATAATGGGTCGATCCTTATAAAATTTGCAGAGAATTTTATTTTCATCTATTTAGGTGAAATAATGGAACGATTTCAGCCATTTTAATAAGTTTCGTCCGTACAGTCCAAATATTATGAAAATATTTTGAAAATTGAGGTGTACCTTGTGCCAGCCGGACAGAAATTGATTCTTTGATTGATTGAGTCGATCGGTATATTTTAAGGTGGGTATGATATCATAAAAAATATACCAATTTGAAAGGAATAAACTTTGAAGAAATCAAAAAGGTCCTATTTTTACTTAGTTTTACACTTTTCAATCGTTTTTCGGCATGAGTTAACGTTATTCTATATGAAAAAGATACAACAAATTAAAAACTATTGACTAACTAAAAAACATGCAAACATACTTTCACTATACATGCAAAGGCCTCCGGGCATGTTTCCATGATGAAATGTCACATCATGGTGTATTGAAATCCCGGGGTATAGAGGGGCTATCAGTACCTCTAGTCTGCCGGGACTATAAACTGGTGATGTCACTTCACTCCTCGGCTAGTCTTTGGTATGATTTGACATGGGGTCTAACCAGAGAACAACATAATCTGGTACTACGGGTAGCCAGTTGCCCGCATAACTATTTCCTGGTTGGTCAGTTGGTTGACTTTACTTCGGGATCCACGTAGTGGCTGTGGTTTAAACCCAAATTTGCGGGGAGAGTAAGTGGCGGTTAAAGGACTGATGTAAGGTAAACTCAATATTTCGGGATAAGTTCGGTGCTGTTGCCGAAACAACAGGTACCCCACAGAGTGACTGTTGGACTAAGCATTGGAAATGAGTTGGTGTTAATTGTATTTGGTACGGGATGAATGTGGGGTATGCGGGCCTCACCCATCCGTTTACCTAGAATAAGTGTGTCCTATGTTTTTCTCTCATGAATGTGTAGGATGAATGGGAAGTGTGCTGGGTTGAATGATGATGGATGTAAGGTATCATATACAAATGATACCATTGAATTTTCCTTCCTTGTCCAGATATGTTCAGAGTAAACTCTGTTCATATCAGAATTACCTCAGTGTGTCACTGTGAGTAAGAACAAAGTCTCAGCTTATTTGATGGATTCGTACTTCGGTCTACCGGTTACGTCTCTAGGTGCTGTTGCCGAATCAACAGAGGCCATCCCATCTGCGTGGTTGTAAATGGAAGTGATGTTTTACATCTCGCAAGTTAAGCAACGGGGCAGTAATGGTCAGAGATTAGATAGCTCAAGTACTTCAGCAAAGTGCTTATACATGAACCGGCTTAGCCGGAAGATTGAAGGGGCGGAGGTGAGTCGTCACAAAGCTCACCCAGTAGTTGAAAAATACCACCGTGAGATAGACCAACACATTAATACATGCAAAGGCCTTAGTAAAGTTTTTTAAGCAATTGTATTGAGATTAATTGAATTTTTTATTCATATAAAAAATTATTTTTATATTTGGGCAAAATCATCATCATAATAAAATGTCACACAAACATTATGTTACTTTTGTAGTTGTATTTATAAAAAATATTTAAATTAAAAAGTTTTCCTTGGTAACAAACTACATAAATACAATGCATATCTCTCAGCTATAAAAACAGCCATCCTTTATAATCACACAAAAATCGAAAGGATACCACAATTACGTACGTTAAAAAACGGCCACCAAAGAAATATGGAAAATATATATGAAAATCAATTTGAAAAAAAAAAAAAAAAATTAAACGAAAAAACTGAAGTCATCTGAAACAATACCTACTGCAGACATGAGACAGATACGTATATTTAGAGGCTCACATAAAAAAACGGCAGACAGGTATAACGCCTTGAATTCTACACCATTTCCACTTGAATTTAAAAATGTAATAACTGACAGTTTTGTATGAATTTCTAAGTGAAAAACAACTTTGTATTTTAAATAATTCCGATAATACTCTGAAATTTATATTTCAAATAAAATTTATGTTCCTTTAACCGAGAGATATATAGTAAATCAACCCTATTATTAAAACATCAATATATTTTTCTAATTTCATAAATACATTGGAATAATTTCATAAATACATTGGAATTTATTTGTAAAAAATGTTTGGGAATAAAACTATAATCAACAAACAATTAGAAATGGTGTAGTGTGAATTTGTGTGAAATAAACTGTACGCTTTTTTTTACTGATTCCATGCATATTCACAGATGAGTAAAATTTTATGGTAAACTTTTCATTGTGGGAAATGTTAAACAAAAAAATTTATAATAGAAATATAATGAAAAATATAAAAAAATTCAACTTTACGAACTTACCGACAACTTGCATTTGAGCATATGCTGTGGCGGTTGAAAATAATGGTGCATCGGCTGTTACTTCACAAGAAAAAGTTCCAGATAGACCAAAGTTCACATTGCGTATAACAACTTGGGTGGCATTTGAAACACTTTCCTGTAGAATTTTTTACAAACAAAAAATATGTGGAAGAGAAAATAAAGTTAAACGTTAATATTTATTTAAGGCGAAAAAAAAAACTAAAAATACAATTCAAATGTCAAGGTGTAAACTGGGAAAGTTTAATGTTGAGGAAAAAAAGAATGAAGTGTACATACAACTTTTCCATACAACTTTTTAACAATTTCGGCAAGTAATATTTAAGCTGTTAAAAATTGTTGACATTTCGGAACTGAGAAATATTTTACAATCCGAAATAATAACAAGTTAGAGTGCTATATTCGGCTATGCCGAATCTTAAATACCCTCCACCAGCAAGCTACTTTTTGTTGAAACCCATCTAACTATCTAACTTTTAGATAACTTGCCAAAATTTTTGTCGAACTAATTTTGATTAGGTCCAGAAAAATTTATATTAATACGCCAGTTCGAAAACATTTTAATAGAATGATTTATCTATACACAGAACATACTCATGTCGAATTTTATCCGGATATAATAATTTAATAACGAATTAAGTGTTACTAAGTGATTTTCAGAAGTTAACCTTATATGGGAGCTAAGACAACTTATGAACCGGTCCGCAAAAAATTCCATATAATGAATTATATACATATATAGAAAATACACATTTATGTAAAATTGTATATCTATGTATAAAATGTGCGTTTAAGTGATTCATATGTGCACAAATCATATTTTATCAAGATATCTTTATTTAATAATGAAATATGTGCGTTTAAGGGATTGAAGTGGTCCTATTACCAAATATGGACTGATCCAGAACAAATTTGGTAGAATGTTTTATATGCCTATCCAGAAAAATCTCGTAGAGTGATTTATGTAAAGACAAAACATATTTGTGACGAATTTTCTCAAGATAACTTTATTTGACAATGAAATATGTGTGTTTAAGTGACTCTCAGAAGTGGACCTTATATGGGAGCTGTGACCAATAATGGACCAATCCGAGAAAAAAGTGGTAGAATGATTCATATGTACACAAAACTTTTTCAAGTTGAATTTTACCCCTATAGCCTTAGAATTCAATGAAATATATGCGTTTAAGTGATTTTCGTAAGTGGACCTTATATGGGAGCTATGACCAATTATGGGCCTATCCGGAAAAAATTTCGTAGAGTGATTCATGTTTAGGCAAAACATATTTGTGTCGAATTTTGTCAAGATAGCTTTACCTGACATTGAAATATGTGTTTTTAAGTTATTTTCGGAAGTTGGCCTTATATGGGAGGTATGACCAATAAGGGACCGATCCGTAAAAAAAATAGTGCAATGATTTGAATGCACACAAAACATATTTCTGTCGAATTTTATCCCGATAGCTTTAGAATTCAATGAAATATATGCGTTTAAGTGATTTTCGGAAGTGGACCTTATATGGGAGCTACGACCAATTATGGGCCTATCCGGAAAAAAATTCGTGAAGTGATTCATGTTTAGGTAAAATATATTTGTTTCGAATTTTATCAATACACCTTTACTTAGCATTGAAATATGTGCTTTTAAGTGACTTTCGGAAGTGGGCCTTATATGGGATCTATGACCAATTATGAACCGATCCGTAAAAAATTTTGTAGAATGATTTGTATGTATACAAAACAGATTTGTGTCGAATTTTATCCCAATAGCTTAATAATTCAATGAAATATATGCGTTTAAGTGATTTTCGGTAGTCGTGCTTATATGGGAGCTATGACCAATTATGGGCCTATCCGGAAAACATTTCGTAGAGTGATTTATATTTAGACTAAACATATTTGTGTCAAATTTCATCAGAATAGCTTTAGGTGACAATGAAATATGAGCTTTTAAATGATTTTCGGAAGTGGGCCTTATATGGGAGCTATGACCAATAATGGACCGATCCGTAAAAAATTTTGTAGAATGATTTGTATGTATACAAAACACACCGTACTCGAATTTTATCACAATAGCTCTATTCATCAATGAAATATGTGCATTTAGGTGATTTTCGGAAGCGGACCTTATATGGGAGCTGTGACCAATTGTGGACCGACTGAGGTCTACGTTGACAGTATGATTTCTGTTCCTATTATATTAACATGTACAACATTTTGTGTTGATACCGATATATTTGAGGGAGTTATTAACGATAAACTAATTTCCTGGAATATATACCTTTGTATGGGGGCTATGGGAAATATTGGATCGATTGTAAAGATTTTGAACATAATTGATCACTGCCCTAAAAAATAATGTGTGACAAAATTCATCGAAATATCTTTGGTAGTTTCTGAGAAAACTTTAAAAGAATTATGAAAAAAACGTAATTTTTTTCGAGGTAGTCTGAAATTTTTACTCATTACTTTTTATGTTGTGAACCGATTTTGCTGATTTTCAATAGGATAATAATAAATATTTTGGGTGAATTTGGTTGATTTCCTTTGCTTAGTTTTAACGTGAGCGTGTTTTACACAGACAGACAGACAGACGGACAGACGGACATAGCTAAATCGACTCAGAATTTGATAAGGACCCAGAATATATATACTTTGTTGGGTCTTAGATGAATATTTCTTGGTGTTACACACGGAACGACAAACTTATATATACCCTCTATCACCACTGATGGTGGTGGAGGGTATAAAAAATGTTAAAAAGTAGTCCAACTTAAATTTAATTTCATTTTTTTAATTCTATTAAAATTTATATTATAATACTATTCTATACTCACATCTACTTTTATTCCGGGAAAATGAAATACTTTTGTATTAGGATATTCGCCTGGAGTGTAACGGAAAAATTCTAATTGTCCACGATAAAATTTGACCGAATATAGTGGTGCCCCCTCTATGGTGTAATGACAACGTAATATTACTGATTGGTTTTGTCGAACAGCAGGTGGTTCAATATATAAATTTACATCACGTAGTGCAGCCCGAGATAAATCTGAAATTGGAAAAATTTAAGATAGAAATTATTAACGATTTGAAGATTTTAATATACATGTGTATGTAAAAACAGTTATATAAATAGTTAGAGTTGATTTTTGGAGAAACAAATGTGAAACGATCCTTCTAAAAATTTAAAGATGGATCTATGTTTATATAAAGTTTATGTTCATATAAAATGAAGTGTCTGGCAAGATGATATAATGGACCGATTTTAACCTGTTTCAATAGACTTAGGTTTGGAAATTGCGGCCTGTACTTTAATAACAATTTCACATGCACATGCAAGCGGACAGACATAACTCACAAATTTATAAAATATATGTTTCTTATATATTCCACAAACTGAAAATAGTAATAACAATGTGATATGTAATATTTAATCAGTGTTGCCATTTCGGTGCTTTTCGGGTATTTTTGGTGCCCTTTACACCCGGAGATACACATTATCTATGATTCATCATCGCACAGACAAAACTGCTGAACCTATAATCATGATATTTTGACAGTATATGTGTTTTTGGTTATTCATATCCACTAAGGAGGGGTTTTTGGAAATTTGTACATTTACGGGTAAAAAAGGGAAAAAACAGGTTTTATTAATTATCCTACCTAATATTAGTTATACAAGAAAAATTTTAAATGCACCTGTATCTACTCTTAAAATAAGCAGATGGGTGTCTGGTACTTTTTTGAAATTCGTACTTTTAAGGGGTAAAAATGTGTAACAAAAGTGATTTTGGTACCTTTTTTGGACCTTTATAATATTTTAACTAATAAACAATATAACATTTTGGTAAATATTTTGAATATATCTCCCAAAATTAGGAGATACCTGTTTCGTACTTTTCTAAAATTCAGTCCTTTTTGGGTGTAAATGGGAGAAAACTGTATGTTTGGTACTTTTTTTTTGTTCATTAAGAAAACTTTTTCGATTTATTGAAGTATTCCTATTAAATTACGGAGTACATCTGTAATATTTATTGAAACAACATTTTTTCTATTTCACTGGGGAAAAAAGTACCAAAAAGGAGAAAAACGTGAAATTTAGTTTTATTCAAACTCATTGATCCAATTTTTAGAAAATTTGAAAAAGCAGTTTATTTACTCACACAAAATAAGCTATTTTGGAATTCGAGTACTAAGGCCTATATGGGACCAAATTCGAGTAAATTCGAAAAGGGGAAAAATTGTACTCTTTTTATTAGCACTTTCCACTAAGGAAGAATTTATTCCACTTTTGGTACTTTTTATACCCACCATCAAAAAAGATGGGGGGTATATTGTTTTTGTCATTCCGTTTGTAACACATTGAAATATTCGTCTAAGACCCATAAAAGTATATATATTCTGGGTCCTTATTAGATTCTAAGACGATCTAGCCATGTCCGTCTGTCCGTCTGTCCGTCTGTCTGTCTGTCTGTTGAAAACACGATAGAGTCCAAATGGAAGCAGCTAGCGAGCTGAAATTTTGCACAGATACTTCCAGTTGATGCAGTTTGTTTCGTATTGAAAATGGGCAATATCGGTCCACAATTTCGCCTAGCCCCCATATAAGGCCCCCTTCAGAAAATGACTTTATCGCTCATAACTTGCTAAGGGAAGAAGCAATAGCGGTGAAATTTGGCACAAACATGTTTCATGGGAATCTAAATCTCTTTGTAAAATTTTATAAGGATCGGTCCATAATTGACCCTACCCCCCATATAAAATCCCCATCAGAAAATGACTTTATCGCCCATAACTGGTTAGGAGAAGCATCAATAGCGGTGAAATTCGGCACAAACATGTTTTATGGGAACTTAAATCTCTCTGTAAAATTTTATAAGGATCGGTCCATAATTGACCCTACCCCCCATATAAAGTCCCCTTCAGAAAATGACTTTATCGCCCATAACTGCCTAAGAGAAGCAACAATAGCGGTGAAATTCGGCACAAACATGTTTTATGGGAACTTAAATCTCTCTGTAAAATTTTATAAGGATCGGTCCACAATTGACCCTACCCCCCCTTCAGAAAATGACTTTATCGCCCATAACTGCCTAAGAAAAGCATCAATAGCGGTAAAATTCGGCACAAACATGTTTTATGGGAACTAAAATCTCTCTGTAAAATTTTATAAGGATCGGTCCATAATTGACCCTACCCCCCATATAAAGTCCCCTTCAGAAAATGACTTTATCGCTCATAACTTGCTAGGGGAAGAACCAATAGCGGTGAAATTCGGCACAAACATGTTCTATGGGAACATAAATCTCCTTGTAAAATTTTATAAGGATAGGCCCATAATTGACCCTACCCTCCATATAAAGTCCCCTTCAGAAAATGACTTTATCGACCATAACTGGCTAAGAGAAGCATCCATATTGGTGAAATTAGGCACAAACATGTTTTATGGGAACATAAATCTCTTCATATATATTTTTATAAGGATCGGTCCATAATTGACCCTACCCCCCATAAAGTTCCCTTCAGAAGATGACTTTATCGCCCATAACTGGCTAAGAAAAGCATCAATAGCGATGAAATTCCGCACAAACATGTTTTATTGGAACATAAATCTTATTGTAAAATATTATAAGGATAGGCCCATAATTGACCATACCCCCCATATAAAGTCCTCTTCAGAAAATGACTTTATCGGCCATAACTGGCTAAGAGAAACATCAATAGCGGTGGAATTCCGCACAGACATGTTTTATGGGAACGTAAATTTCTTCGTAAAATTTTATAAGGATCGGTCCATACATACCCCCCATTTAAAGTCCCCTTCAGAAAATGACTTTATGGCCCATAACTGGCTAAGAGAAGCATCAATAGCGGTGAAATTCAGCACAAACATATTTTATGGGAACATAAATCTCTTTGTAAAATTTTATAAGGATAGGCCCATAATTGACCCTACCCCCCATATAAAGTACCCTTCAGAAAATGACTTTATCGCCCATAACTGGCTAAGAGAAGCATCAATAGGTGTGAAATTCGGCACAAACATGTTTTATGGGAACATAAATCTCTTCGTAGAATTTTATAAGGATCGGTCCATAATTGACCCTACCTCCTATAAGGTCCCCTTCAGAAAAGGACTTTAATGCTCATATCTACCTTAAGAAGCATATGCATAACAATAAAATTCGACATAAAAAAGTTTTATAGGAACTAAAATCATTTTCTTAAATTTTATGAGGATGTGTCCATAATTGACCCTAACCCCCTAATAAGGTCTCCTTTATACAATGACTTTAACGCTCATTATTGGCTCAAAAATGTGAGTACAGCGGTAAAATTATACATAAACAAATTTCGTGCGAGCCAAAACCTCTCTATCAAATTTTATAAGGATCGGTCCTTATTGAAATCGGTCTATAATTGATTCGCTCCAGAAAATCACTTAAACGCTCATGTGTGACTCAAAAGTTCTTTCAAATTACGGTAGTTTTATAAGAAACCCCCACTTTCGGCTTTCTTCAGAAAATTACTTTAAACCTCATGACTGAATTAAAAATACGAGTTCAACGACATTAGATACAAACAATTATTGTATAAACCGACAAGGAAAGGTCCATAATTGACTCTACCCTCCATATAACCACTCTTACAAAAAAACAGTTTTTGGTTATAAATATTGGGTCAAAGAAAATTAATATTTTTAATTCGGAATAGCACGGTCCATGCTTAAGCCCTTGGCCCTCTTCCAAATATGTACCTGATGTTCATATTAATATCAACATATGATTCAAACTAGATCGATAATATCAAAATTTATTAATAAGGATGATTTGATGGTGGGTATATAAGATTCGGCATGGCCGAATATAACACTGTTCTTTCTTCAAATGATACTCTTTGTATGTTCTATAATATGAATTCAAAACACATTACTGTTAAGCATACACGTCCTCATACACGTCCTTTTTATCTCATAAATTGTACTTTTTGAATTTTCTTAAATATTCAACCTAGAAACATAAATTCTAACATACATCGTCTTGACTGAATAATAAATATCCTGTAAGTGGGAACTCTTTGGTACTTTTCCATTCTTCAAATGGTACAAAATTCAGATTCTATATAATGGTTAACCGGTACACATGACACACGGTCCTTATTAAATGAGAATTTATTGAGAGAGATTTTTGTACTTTTTCGTTTTTCCGGTGGTACTTTTTGATATTTTTACGATATTGAACATAGATATTGAAAATAAAATTTAAAATGTAGGGACCTTAGTGAATGAGAATCTACTGAAAGGGACTTTTAGTATTTTTTCATTCATCGATTATATTTTCTGAATTGTATATATTGAACACCGAAACATAAAATTTTTGATTAAATTATAATCTCTTAGAGGTTTTTTCAAATAGTACTTTCGAAATTTTCTATAATATGGAAGATAAAATAATGAAACTAAAAATACAAGCTTCTTACTGAATGAGAATTTATTCACGTGAATTTATTCACTGAAACATTAAAAAAAAATTTTATTCAATTTTAATTTTCTATAAAAGTAAACAAAATTTTGTATGTACATAATTTTGATTAGGGTATGCTAATTTTAAATAATTTAACATAATTTGTATCTGTGTGAAAAATATATGGACATTTAGTGATAGCTTTTTTGTATGGAAAGTATGAGAAAAAGTGACAGATATTAGGGATTTTTACCCTTCCACCTTTTGGATGATATTTTCTTAATATTTATGGTATTCCACTTCCGATTTTGCAGATTTCCATAACAACACCAAATGTCGTTCATGAGTAAAATTGACCATGAGTACTAGTTATTTATGAACATTTATTTAGAAAAATAGAGTTAGATTAGAGTTAGGGTAGAGTTAAAGTAAATTTGCAATTACAGCAATGTTGAAATAGATTATACATATATATAGCGATATACATAAACAAAATCTTTTATTTAAAATAAATCTACATGTGTATGTAAATCTAAATATAAATCCATATCTATATCTATTTAAAAACTTATGTATATTCATACAT